ACAACCCCAACTCTGTTCCTGTGTGCTGTGTAGAGGGGGGTGACCCTGTGGAGGGGGGGGGGTGACCCTACCCTCCAATCAGCTCTTAGAGCTCTCCTCACTGATGTAACCTCAGCTCCCCGCCCACTGCTTTTCAGAGCTGAGAGATCCTGTGTAAATTCTGCACTTTGAATGGATGTAGAAAAGAGAAGTCTTTAGATAAACAGGTACAACTTATGTAGGTGGATTTGTTTGATCTCTGTGCATCGCCTAAGGCCAATCACTTCACTGGGTATATGTAAGGGTTTACAACCACTGTAAGGGCAAAGTGGCAATGTTATTACAAAAGCTTCCTTCTTTCTACATATACTCACCTTGTCACCATTCCCCGGCTACTTCTTTCTCCATCACAACTGGCCAAAATATCTGGGTATAAGAATGCATGTGACCTTCTTGAACATGACAGTACTGGGGTCTAGCAGCCAATCACTAGGCTCAAGCACTGTCATACAACAGAGAGAGTGATATTCCTGCTTCCCCTATCATCTGACAGACAGATACCGAGAATTTTACTGCTGGCTGTGACAGGAAATGGCAGGGAAGCAAAGTGAGTATCAATAGGTCAGGGGGCCCCTTTGCAAAGATGCTGTCACTTTGCCCTGATTATGCAAGGTAGCAGAGTTTCTTTAACCACTTGCCTACTGGGCACTTTACCCTCTTCCTGCCCAGGCCAATTTTCAGCTTTCAGGGCTGTTACACTTTGAATGACAATTGCGTAGTCATGCAAGATGATCAGTGTAGATGTCCCCTCTGAGGAATGCCGCTTACCGGCTCTCTGCAGTTGATGCAATGATCAGTGCCGATCTCTGCTCTGAAAACTGCCGGTTCTCGGCAGTACTTTCCCCACGTTCTGACAGCGTGAGGAAAGTGCAGCCAAGAACTGGCAATTGCATTTCCATGTGATCCGTGTGTCATTGGACATGGCTAATCACGTGGTAAAAAGCCGCTGTGATTGGCCCTTTTACCACATCACGTGATCAGCTGTGTTCGTAGGACACAGCGATCACGGAGATCACCAGGTGCACGCCCTCGGGGGCATGCAGGATAGTCCATTCTGGGAGGATGTCATATGACGCCCTCCCAGAACTGGCCAGCCGCAGTGTAGCCGTCATTCAGCTATCTGCGGTCGGCAACTAGTTAGATAAACTTCAGAGCAGTTGATGCAATCTTTACTGGGTTATAAAAACAATACAGCCTAACATGAACCACAACTTTAGTATGTCCCTAACTAGCTCTGGCTGACTGCCCAGGCATACCTAAACAAGGTAGTAGATCATGTTTGGTGAACTCCAGAAGCTGGTTGTTTTCTGGACTCCTGGTACCTCTGGCGGACTGCAAGGCACAGCAGTCCTCCTCTGCAGCGATCATATCCTTCTTCTCCTGCGCGGCCCGAGACTCCCCCAGGACCCATCCTTCTCCCTTATTTATATAACAGGCAGGTAGGATGGATCCAAAAAGTGGGAAAAACATCAACCCACTCCCAGCCTGGGTTGGCCACAGTCTAGCTAAACAACCTGTCGGTAATCTGCCTACAAGCAGAGTGGGCTCTGGTTTGCTACACAATGTGATGACCATGCCCAGCAATTTAAAAAATGCAGCCATTATCAAAACTAAACTTGTGGCAACCCTACCACACTTACATTGAGAGCCCATTAACACTTTGGCACCCTGGAGCATTTTGTCACTAACGCAATGCACATTAAGGGCCCTGTGCATTCAGGGAAGAAGGTCTGGAATGCAAAAGACCTGCATGCCAGACCTTTGTTCCTGAACGCACAGAGCTCTAACTGCCGGTACCATTCTGTGCAGTGTCCAGCCCCATCCAGGCACAGCCTGCCATAGACCTAGACAGGTCACTGGATCTAATTAGCTGCTGGATCGCTTTTACAGGCGGCGGAAGGAGGTCCGCCAGCTGACCATAGAGATAATCAAAGACCAGAACGTCCTCGGTCATCTCTATGGTCTAAGAAACTGGAAGTAACAAGTATTTTGTCACTTCCTGTTTTGCCAGATGTAAACTACCCATTAATGGCTTGGAAAACATAAGATCAAATTGATTGGTTTGATCTGATGCTTTTAAGGCCAGAAGAAACTCCAGATATCACAGAAAAGAGTACCTGTCACTGCCCATGCTATCACAAGGGATGTTGTTCATCCCTTGTGATAGCAATAAAGTTGATTTAAAAAATGCAAAGAGACAGTGTAAAAAAGAAAAAAATAATACGTAAAAATTTGAAATCAACCACGTCCCCCATGCTCATGCGCAAAGGCGAGCGCACGTGTCAGTCTCGCGTGCATACGTAAACAGCAACCGCACCACACATGTATTACTGCAAACATCATGAGGAAAGCAACCTGTAAAGGCTTTTAAAGTTTTGCCTATAGATAATTAAATGTACATAGTTTGTCACTGTTCCACTGGCATGTGCAGTTTTAAAGCATGACATGTTTAGTATCTATTTCCTTGGGGTAACATCATCTTTTATCTTTTACAAGAAAATGTGGTATTATATTTTGTTTGTGTGCACGAAAATTCATTAAACTGTATCTTTAAAAAAAAATAAAAAATAAAAACTGCTGGCAAATATTTTGTGGCAGAAAAAAAGGCAACAGTTTACTCTCTAGAGTCTCTGCTTAAAATATATATAAAGTTTGGGGATTCTAAGTAATTTTCTAGCAAAAAAATGCAGATTTTTACATATATGCAAGAAGTGTCAGAATAGGCCTGGTCTTTAAAGTGGTTAAATAGTATAGACATTTATTTTTTATTGTTTCACACAGTTATACCTGCAAAAGGGACCAGTATGAAGTAATCTAGCAAGACTTAATTTTCTGACCAAAGCTCCACTTTGACAGCATTAGCGGTAGTACTCTCCAAAAAAGAAAAAAGGTTGTCACCGCTGACAGGGCTTCCATCTTCACCCGCTCCTTCTTCCGGGGGTGCTGGCTCCGGCAGCTTGAATGGCCGAGACCCGTGATGACGTCACTCCTATGGTACACAGCTCTGAAGGAACGGCACGGGCATGCCGAGAGCACATTCTCTGGTGCTCTAAATGGTGTGTGTTTAGGAGATATTTACAGTACCTACAGGTAAGCCCTATTATAGGCTTACCTGTAAGTAGGGCTTTTTTTTCTGGCGAAACATGCTGGAACAGCGTTCCAGCACCTCCGCCGGAGACAGTGTGAAAGGCACTGGGAATAAAGTCACTGTGTACACTCAGTAAGTTGGGCAGCTGCAGAGTGATCATACCGCGGGTGATACAGCTCAACTCCGGCAATAGCCTAAGGGAGCGGAAGGTGGAGTGAACTGCACTCCGTTCCACCCCTCCCTGCAGGCAGGAAGCTATTTTTGGTGGCAACCGCCAGTCAACTCACTGTGTATCAGAGGTGTGTGGGTAGCTAGCCTGTCCTTTTACTTGCTGACTGCGCTTACTGCAGTGCTAGTGTTCACTGGTCTGACTAGATTTTTTCAGTAAATGACAATGCTGCTAATTGGAACTGTGCTTTCTCTTTGCTGGATATGGGTGATGTCCTTTGGCTTGATTTAACTGTCTCTTTTCTGGATTAAGCTGTATTTTTGCTGGATATGGAGTGCCTCTTTGCTGGATATGGGGGGTGACTCTCTGCTGTATGAAGCTGTCTCTTTTCTGAATATGGGGGATGTCTCTTTGAAGGATTAAGCTGTCTCTTTACATGATATGGGGATATCTCTTTGCTGGATATGGGGGTGTTTCTTTGTTGGATTGGACTGTCTCTTTGCTGGATATGGAGGATGTCTCTTTGCTGGATATGGGAGTGTCTCTTTGCTGGATTATCCTGTCTCTGTTGGATTTGGGAGCTGTCTCTTTGCTGGATACAGGGGATGCCTCTTTAGTGGAGTAAGCTGTATCTTTGCTGGATATGGGGATGTTTCTTTGCTGGATATGGGGGATGTCTTTTTGCTGGATTGGGCTCTTTGCTGGATATGGGGATGTCTCTTTGCTGGATATAGGGCTGTCTCTTTGGTGGACATGGGAGTACCTCTTTGTTAGATATGGAGAGTGTCTCTTTACAGGATATGGGGATGTCTCTTTGTTGGATATGGGGAATGTCTCTTTGCTGGATATGGGACTGTCTCTTGCTGGATATGGGGGATGACCCTTTCCTGGATATGGGGCTGCCTATTGCTGGATATGGGTATGTCCCTTTGCTAAATATGGGGATGTCTCTTTGCTGGATATGGGAGATGTCTCTGATGTGAAAAGCAAGGAGAGAAGATACATACAGTATGACAAGGAAGTCTGGAAGTGCCTCTGAGCTTACTTTGGTAAGGGCTGCATATTTCAAATATTTTGTATGTTTAACTGCATTTCTTTTTAAAAACAATTCCATACAAATTACTTGTACAGTCCAGCCAAAGCTTACTTGGTTCCCTGTACTATAAAGTTTGGCAGCAGAGACTAATGTGATCTAGGGGAGGGGGAGAGTTACTGCACATTTTCTCTGTGAAAAAAATTCCTGCCTGTAAGTACAAGTTAAAAAACACTGTTTACAACCACTTTTCGTCCTGACAAAGTTGATTTCACTAATAAAACCCGAAAAATCAGTTGCTTGTGACTGGCTAGTGCACAGGCATGTTTCCGAAGACCAACAATCATTGCAGTCAATAGGGAAATCTCAGCCATCATGGCTGCTGGTGTGCAGACAAACATTCACTTCCTTATACCTCAGTGCCCCGCCTATTTCCGTGTTCTCACAAAAACATTTTAGATTTAGAAGTTAAAATCTGTCGTTGGAATTAGATCACTCTTAGCTGAAGCAATATCAGGCGAGCACGTTGGTATCGTAATATTTGTATGCGAAGAGAGCCACGTTAGCAAATCAGGACATGGAGGAGCTCTGAAGACTCATAGGGTACATGGTCTGGTCACGGAGTTCTGGAGCGGTCCGGTTCTTGAGGAGTCTATTGGAACCGTCTCGTCATGAAGCCGCTGTTGCGCGTCCTCGCCTGCAGGGAGCGCGCTGTATCCTCCTACACAGGGGGTGCGCGCTGTACGGGGCTGCCCAGAGCGTGTCTGAGAGGTGAGATAGCTGGCAGGCAGGGTGACCTGCTGCTGTAGGAGAACATGGTGGACCATTCATCTGTAGGCAGAGTAATCATTTGTACAGCAACAGGACGATTATAGGGAACTAACATGTTGTAGAGATTATCTAGGGAAATAAACCTTTTCCAGCTCTTTTCTGGTGGTAGGTCGCTATAACCCCTTGCCTGCCGGGCACTTATACCCCCTTATTTACCAGGCCAATTTTCAGCTTTCAGCGCTGTCGCACTTTGACAATTGCGCGGTCATGCAAGATTGTACCCGTATGAAATTTTTATAATTTTTTTTCTCATAAATAGAGCTTTCTTTTGGTGGTATTTAATCGCCGCTGGGTGCTTTACGTTTTGCACTATAAACAAAAAAGTGCAAAAAATTTGAAAAAAAAAAAAAGTTTCTTTGTTTCTATTATAAAATTTTTCAAACAGGTAATTTTTCTCCTTCACTGATGTGCGTTGATGAGGCAGCACTGATGGGCACTGATAGGCGGCACTGATGGGCACTGATAGGCAGCACTGAATGTCACTGATAGGCAGCCACGGTGGATTTGATTTAAATCAAACTGATTTAAATAAATCACTAGTCAGTAAGGCTTGATTTAAATCCTAGTTTTCTACATAAAGACTAATTCTTACTTTTATAACTTTAATATGCAAGTAGATGAAGATTTTTAGAATAACAACTTTCATATTAGTTTTTTTATCCCCAGTTTAATAGGTTAATCATTCATATTTGGACAACTTTTCTGTTGTACTTCGGAAGGAGAAAAATAATCATTACCTTAATAATAACAATTTAAATAGATTTATTCAACTGAAACAATAACATTCCAGCATATGTTATTTGCGTAAAAACATCCATGTTTGTTAACTAATTTGGCTAAACAAAATATATATATTTTAAAGAAACTTAGACTGTCAGCCCCTTCCTCCTCACACTTAGTTTCACTTTCTTCTTGTGCAGATCTATTCCACTCCAAACAATCAGAAAAATATTGTTTCTATTCTATTCACTGAACTTCTTGAAACTTAGCAGTGAAGGGGTTGATTCTGTATTCATAGGTTTGTAGAAGTTAGGATTAAGGTCTTTTTCTTAACTCTGTTCATGTTATAACATTTCTTGCTGTGAAGAAGAGGCATGTGATCTCCGCTGAGTCAAATTCAGTTTTGAGAACTGCAAAAGTAAACCAAACATCTGTGATAATATCTTGTAGGCAGAGAAACTGCCCAATAATCTTACAAAAACCTCTGGAAGAGCATGACATTGTGAATGGATTCATGGAATTTATTTACCAAAAAAAATAAACATATACAGCCTTATTCTACATAATTAAAAAACTAATCTTTATTTCATGATGGAATAACCTTTGGATGGTAATATACTTTCCTCAAAAAGCATTTTATTAAAAAAAAATCCGATTTAAATCAAAAAAATCCAATTTAAATAAAAAAACATCAATTTAAATTAAAAAAATCCGATTTTTTTTTTTTTTTTTTTTTTTTTTTTTTTTTTTAAATCATTGATTTTTATCCACCCTGTAGGCAACACTAATGAGGTGTTGCGGATAGGCGGCACTAATGAGTTGTCACGGATAGCGGCACTGATAGGTGACACTGATGATGGGTTCTGACAGGACATCATATGACGCCCAGACACAACGGCGAGTGTTCTGTCCAGCCATCAATCTGCTATAGACCCCGCGGGAAGGTGTTTAAAAGCCTTTACAGGTTACCAGTTTAGATTTCCAGAGGAGTTTCTGGTGCTAGAATCACCGCCCATGATCTGACGTTTGTGACCATACCTCTCGTGTGGGACAATCATTGTTTGTGTGCGTGCATGACCAAGGCATGTGTTTGCCTTTGTGCGCAAGCACTGGGGGGACAGGGGCACTTTACATTCTTTTTTTAATTATCTATTTTACACTGTTGCTTTAAAAGATTTTTGTTTTTTTTATCACTTTTATTCCAGTCACATGGAGTGTAAACATCCCTTGTGACAGCAATAGGCATGCGCTAGGTACTCTTTGTGGAGGGATCTGGGGTCAATAAGAACCCAAATCCCTCCTCTGCAAGATCGGTGTAATTAAATGCTTTTCTTTTTTAAAAATGGTGCCCTGTATTTAGGACTAAAGCGGATGTGATGTAAGGTCATCATTTCCTGGTTACTATATTCTAGAGCCCAACAAAGCTGATACGGTTCGTTGGGTTCTATGATCATCCGGCAATCGATCGGGATTCTCGGTGGGACAGGAGATCCCAGTAAAGCTGCGGAAGGTGGTGGGAGGAGGGGGATGTCCCCGCTGCTTGCAATAGCAATCGAGTGGCTAGTTAGCCACTCCAATTGCTATTGCAAGAGAGCCGACCATCGGCTCTTAATAAAGGGTACCAGGATGAGGCGTGTAGCTGCAGGTATCATCCTGGTACAACATCTTGAAGTCCAGTAACGTTCCAGAATGGTTTAAGCAGAAATAAAGTACACTATACTTACCCCAGCTGCAATGGACTGACGCTCACAATGCGCCTCACCGGCACCAGCATCATCTCCCTTGCTTCTGGGTGCCGATCTTCGACCATCTTGATTGGCTGGTGTGATATGACGTAAGTCCTGTGCATGCACAGGAGTTCAGTCATGCCTGAACACAGGCACTGTGCCAAAATGTATAATGGGCTGCACATGTGCCACCCTGTGTAGATTCTAAGGAAGACTGTGAGCAGGTAGGAAGGTTTATTTTATTGCAGAAGAGACATTGCATATCTCTTCTACAATAAACAGCCTGCCTGCTTGCAATAAAAAAAAAAGACTATTTCCGTTTAAATTGGAGCTAAGCCCTCCTTTTCAGCCAAGGAAGCTGCCATCTTTGCCTCTGTTTGATCTGCAACTGCCACAGTGCTGCACATGTGATCAGTTATGACACCAGTATTTTGATGGTTTGACAGTTTGGTTGAGAACATAAGCAAATGTGACAGTTATCGTTTATGGCATGCTGGGAATGGAACTGTTTTTTAAATGCTTAATTCCATGGGTTTAGTTCCGCTTTAGGAACCTGTCACTGTGGCAGCAATGGATTCAAAAAGAATCACTGTCCTTTAGAAGACTGACAGTAATTAAGCTCACTGTAAAAATTACCATTTGACCATCTTTGTGCAATCAGCCAAAACTATGTAATATGAGGGCCTACCTGAACTATCCAATCAGTTTTGTATCCAAAAGCAGGGCCTTTTGCTACATACTTGTTGGGCTCACCATACACCTTACAATCTGACTGTATCCTTCATATCTACTAAGACCAGCTCTGAGCTGGCGTACAGAGAGCCATCAGTTCTCAGAGTGGGGCATGTCTTTCCTGGGAAGCTGTCATAACTGTGACATCTTTCTGCATAGGGTTTGTAGTAGCGGCTGCTGCTAACCTTCTAGAAATAGAGATTATATGTTCTTCAGTCTTCGCACTTGGGCTTTTTATGATCCAAAGGGCTGCAGACTGGGTCATTCCCATCCCACAGCACACCTCTTTGTTTACTTGATCTGCAGGGAGAGAATGGCTCGGCCCGCAGCTCATTTGAGTTAAAAAAAAAAAAAAAAAAAAAAGGGGTAAGTTCAGGGTTCAGCTACAGATGATTCAGAAGACACCCAAGCTAGCAACCAATGACTTATCCCTGGTCCCCTTCAGAGGAAACTTTCCCAGCTGAACGCTATATGTAAACAAAGGGTATTAGGACATTGGCTGATGTTGTTATGAAAATATGGTAATGCCTAACACAGAAAGTGGACCTGATTGGAAACTAGTTTCAGCGTTTTCATCAGGCTTTTACCCACTTGACCCCACAGCTGCCCACTGCTTTGCGTTGTCAGTCAAAAGGAAGGTAGACCTGATGGGGAACTAGCCTCCCCATCAGCCTATGCCCACCCCACTACAAACTCTTTGGCCATGTCTGTGTGACAGGTGCAGTGGCCAAGGAGGGAGCCCAATAATGCTGAGCTGCACTTTGGACAGGTGTCTGGCATGGCCTCCTCCTAAGAACGGTACATGATTCTTTTGTGAATACAGACAGTTTTGGTGCAGAGGTTTAACTGAATTATTAAGAGTGTATACAATACTCTTTATGAATTTCCTCAAATGTACCTACAGTTAGATACAGGCCAGACTAGCTACTATGCTAGCTACCCTCAAAGCCCACTTGAAAAAAATAATGCAGCTTTCACTGCAATACCCATCTTCAGTCCATCACCAACCCCCATGAGAAGTCATCTTGTCCACTTGATGTCTCGCCTTTTGTTACCCAGCGTCATTTAAAGCGGACCTTGAAAGGCAATTTCCCTTATCAGCCTTCCTCTTAGACAATTGCAGATATTTTTTTTGTACCATAAATGCCTTTTTTAATGCTTCCCTTCCTGAGTCCTCCCCTAGGTGAGGATGACATAGCTCCAGTCACCCGCTGCCTCCTCAGATGTCTATAGCACATCCTAGCAGGCAGTGTTTCAGCATGTAATGTTGCACATGTACATTGTCCCATAGACCTGACAATGACCTCATGGCATATTTGGGCATGTGTGGATTCCATTTCAAGTTGGTGGTGTGGGAGCAGTGTTGCAAAGGAAAAATTTGTCTGCAAGGAAGAAAATACTAGACTGCATAGACAAGTTAGTATGTTTTTTTATACATACTGAGGCCATTAATAGGAATTTATAATTTAATTTTAATCACAGTTGGGTGACGTTCCTCTTTAACCCACTTTCTGGGAGCCCAGGCTATTATAATGATCATGCTGGTAGAGAAAAGGCCCATGATGTCATGTGTATAAAGTGAGAGAAAAAATACAATTGGGTGCAGAGGAAGCCAGAAAACCTGGAGTTAGTTTTTAGTGCAATATTGTCACCAGAAAAAAATCCACAACTTACTGGTGAACCTTCTTTTATAAGATGAAGAACTATTGCCCAGCATTTGAGAAAATAGAAAAGTCACTCCTGCTGCAATATTAAAGCCTAACTTCAGGTTTGCTTTAGCTTTAAATTGTTTGTACCAAGTTGGTCCAAATGTATTATTTACATCACTAATACATGTGCTTGCTGAAATAATCAGCTGCTTACAGTATACTGCATTGTGCGTGATGGAGAATTCCTGTTCCATTCCTGGGACAAAAGCTCTGCTCAGCCATTTAGAAGCTTTGTATTTTATGAATGAATACAAGGCCTCCTTTGAATGGCCAAGGTGGAGAGTGTGATGGGATCCACCCGCCTCTCCAGCTCAGCCAATCAGAGAAAGACCTTCTGAATGGTTGAGCAGCACACATTTTAACAAGTCTTTTTTTATTTCCTTCTTACTGCCAGGAGGAAAGTATGAGGTCTGCCTTTGCTTGTCCCTCTATGAAAATGCTAGATTTTAAGTACTTTGAATCTTAAACTCAGAACAAGCATGCTTAAACAAGTGTCAGAAAAGTGTAGTTCATTTTTATTTCGATACTTGTCACAGGTCAGCTACTCAGATAGCTTTGAATCCGAATAATCAATATGGCAGCCAGTGAATTAGCATTCCAAAGCAGAGCTCATTGATGGCAATCTCCATGGTTTCCTCGTGTCCAGTTTAGAGCAATATTAAACACTCAGTGTTTTTTTTTTTTTTTTTTTTTTTTTTTTTTATTTTAACACATTTGTGGTTTACAATTTTCAAAGCTGCTGGCTCTTGCTCTCTCAGTGCTGCTTGCCTGAATGCCCAGTCTTCACAGCAAAGAGTTAACAATGGGCAGTTCAGTCTAGGGTCAGTCTGTTAGCTTGAAGAAGGGAGTGATTGTCATCCTAGATTGGGGATCTCCAGCTTTCCAAACAAAAGGCCAATTTACAAACATTGAGACTTAGGGGGGCCAGACTTTGCCCGGTAGAAGTAGAAAATGCCCCTGTGTTAGTAGATGTAACTAATGCCCCCTCATTGATATTAATGGGAGGAATAGGGCCCCATCGCTGCTGTCTGTGGGAGGAAGAGTGCCAAATCACCGGTGTCAGTTTGAGGAATAGTGCCTCATATCAATGGAAGCAATAGTGCCCCATCATTGGTATCAATGGGAAGAATAATTTTCCAAGGACCGGATAAAAGCAAGCAAAGGGCTCCATTCGGCCCTTGGGTCGCATTTTGGAGGCCACTGTTCTAGACCAGGGGTCTCCTAATGTTTGAAACAAAGGGCCAGTTTACTGCCCTTCAAACTTTAGGGGGGCCAGATTGTGGCCAGTGGGAGTAGAAAATTCCCTGGCATCAGTGGGAGTAAACCATACCCTAGGCTTGGTGGTCAGTGGGAGGAACAGTGCCCCATCGTTGGTGTCAGTGGGATAATTAGTTCCCCATGTCTAGTATCAATGGGAGGAACAGTGCCCCATCGCTGGTGTCAGTGGGAGGAACAGTGCCCCATCCTTGGGTTCAGTGGCAGGAACAGTGCCCCATCCTTGGGTTCAGTGGCAGGAACAGTGCCCCATCCTTGGGTTCAGTGGCAGGAACAGTGCCCCATCCTTGGGTTCAGTGGCAGGAACAGTGCCCCATCCTTGGGTTCAGTGGGAGGAACAGTGCCCCTTCCTTGGGGTCAGTGGGAGGAACAGTGCCCCTTCCTTGGGGTCAGTGGGAGGAACAGTGCCCCTTCCTTGGGGTCAGTGGGAGGAACAGTGCCCCTTCCTTGGGGTCAGTGGGAGGAACAGTGCCCCTTCCTTGGGGTCAGTGGGAGGAACAGTGCCCCTTCCTTGGGGTCAGTGGGAGGAACAGTGCCCCGTTGTTGGGGTCAGTGGGAGGAACAGTGCCCCATCGTTGGGGTCAGTGGGAGGAACTATATTACATCGAGTTTATATAGCGCCAAAAGGGTTTGCTCAGCGCTGTACAATAGAGGGGGGGACAATACATGAAACATTACATCAACTACAAACAGCACACGAGGGGTTATAGGGCCCTACTCGTTCGAGCTTACAATCTAGGAGGGAGGGGGTAGTGGTACAGGAGGAAGTGGCTGTGGGGGATGGAGTGGTAGTGGTAGGAGGAATGAAGGAGAGAAGCAGTTAGGTGAGGGTGGGGTAGGCTTCCCTGAAGAGGTGGGTTTTCAGGGAGCACCTGAAGGTGAGGAGGGAAGGTGACAGTCTGATGGATTGGGGTAGTGAGTTCCAGAGGAATGGGGGAGGACCTGGAGAAGTCTTGCAGACGTGCGTGTGAGGAGGAGACCAGGGAGCAGATAGGAGGTCCTGTGAAGAGCGAAAGGTACGGGTAGGGTGGTACTTGGGAATCAGGTTGGTTAGGTAGTTAGGGGCAGTGTTGTGAACGGCTTTGTAGGTCAGAGTGAGTAGTTTGAATTTGATGCGTTGGGCGATAGGGAGCCAGTGGAGGGATAGGCAGAGGGGGGTGGCAGAGGTGGAGCGGTTGGTGAGGTGGATGAGTCTAGCCGCTGAGTTCAGGATGGTCTGAAGCGGGGAGAGCCTGCACTGGGGGTAGGCCGATGAGGAGGGAGTTGCAGTAGTCAAGGCGTGAGATAATCAGGGAGTGTACGAGTAGTTTAGTGGTGTCTGGGGTAAGGAAGGTGCGTATTTTGGCGATGTTGCGGAGGTGGAGCCTGCATGTGTTTTGTAAGTGATTTGACATGAGGTTGGAAGGAGAGGTTAGAGTCCAGAATGACTCCAAGGACTTTGGCTTGCGGGGCGGGATTGATGGTGGTGATGTTAGTAGTGATGGATAGGATGGGGGGGGGGGGCACGGGCAGGGGGGGAAGACGAGAAGCTTGGTTTTGGAGAGGTTAAGCTTGAGGAAATGGAGCGACATCCAGTCAGAGATGTCGTTTAGGAGGTGTGATGTGGGCGGAGAAAGTGGGGGTGAGGTGGGGGGTGGAGAGGTAAATTTGTCATCAGCGTAGAGGTGGTAGTTGAAGCCGTGGGAGTGTATGAGTTTGCCAAGGGAGGAGGGTAGATGGAGAAGAGAAGGGGTCCAAGGACAGAGCCCTGGGGGACCCCAACAGAGAGGGGGAGGGAAGGGGAGGTGGCACCATTGTAGGAAACGCTGAAGGAGCGTCGGGATAGGTAAGAGGAGAACCAGGAGAGAGCGGTGTCTCTGATGCCAAGGGAGAGTAGTTTATTAAGGAGGAGGGGGTGGTCAACTGTGTCGAAGGCCGCGGAGAGGTCCAGGAGGAGGAGGACAGAGTAGTCGCCTTTGGCTTTGGTGGTTAGTAGGTCGTTGGTGATTTTGAGGAGGGCGGTTTCGGTGGAGTGTAGGGGACCGAAGCCGGACTGTAGTGGATCAAGGAGGTTGTTGTCAGTTAGGTGGGCGCTTAGGCAGTCGTAGACTAAGCGCTCCAGGAGTTTGGAAGTGAGTGGCAGCAGGGAGATGGGTCTGAGGTTGTTTGGGTCAGTGGGGTCCAGGGAGGGCTTTTTGAGTATGGGGGTGATGTGCGCATGCTTTAGGGGGGAGGGGAATACGCAGGTAGAGAGGAAGAGATTGAAGATGTGGGTGAGGGAGTAGATGAGGGAAGAGGGGGGTGACCGGAGGAGTCGAGAGGGGATAGGGTCCAGGGGGCAGGTAGTGAGGCGGGCTTCTGAGAAGACCCTGGTGACTTCCTCAGTGGTAGCGGGGCTGAAGGAGTGCAGAGCTGGGGGGGTTATGGTAAGCGGGGTCTTGGGTGTGGAGGGGGGCAGTGCGGTTGCGAGGTCAGAGGAGGGAAGAGATGAGGGGGAGATAGGGGGGGGGGGGAGGCTAGGTGGGGAGATAGATTGCGAGTTGACTATGTCCTGACGGATTGCATCAATAGCGTCCAATCGTTGGTGTCAGTGGGAAGAATAGAGCCCCATTGTTGGTGTCATTGGATGGAATACTGCTTCATATCAGTGGAAGGAAAAGTGCCCCAAGGGCTGGATAAAAACAAGCAAAAGGCCACATCCGGCTTGCAGGCTGCAGTTTGGAGCCCCCTGTTCTAGAGTATGGAGATGTGTGTATTTTGTTGATGCATGCAATGTAGGGACACACAACTCTAGTTCCTGCATGCAAGCGTGGCTCCATAGGACACCCTGAAACAGGTAATCTGGGGGACAGTGACCATAGCACAAATTTAAGCTGGACATAGACTAGAATTAAATGATGAAAAAGCTGTATACAAGTGGCGCACACACCTAGTGCATTATCCAAGGTTTATTGAAAGGTATGAAAAGTAAAAACATACTCACAGACGAAGCATGTATCTAAAAAGCATTTGCATAATGACGATGGCCACAATGGCAAGCAAGGTGTTCCAACTGTCAGTGCGGTCAAATGGCTGACGCGTTTCGGGGACGAAACCCTTTCCTCAGAGCTACTGACCAGCCTCTGGTGCAGATGTGTAGTGGATGGATGATGGGAGCCTTGCTGGTGATGCCTGAGGCTGGTCAGTAGCTCTGAGGAATTTCCCCTAATTCAGGTGCTCATATTCTATTTCTAAAATGCATATCAGTAACTGTGTTGAGTCTACCTGCATATCCTTTTTAACATTGTTTGTTTATATAGACCTGATAAGCACTACAACATTAGTGTTTGTGATTTCCAGATTACAGAACATCCACTTCATTAACTGGAGACACACATAAAAGGACCATATTTTCATCTGTGGGGAAGAAGTTCTACTTTGACACTCATGCTGTTGTGCAAGTTCTGGAAGACAAAGGTAACAATATTGTGAGCTTACCACAGACAAAACATGGCCTGTGTTGCTTTGGGAACCATATTACATTTTGTATTTCTGTAGTGTCCTAGGAACTACTACTATTTAATCGTGTATAATTTCCTTTGTTGTATGTTACCCCAAAAATAAAGAATCAATATATGTGTTTAGTTACTCATAGTAAATACAGTCTGTAAATGTTTGCTTTTTTATTATTATTTTTTTATTAATTTTAATTACCATACATTATTTTACATTCTACAACAGTATTTTTCCATATCAAAAATGTTTACACTAAACAAAGAATAAACCCTACACACCACCACCCTCCCCAACCCCCCTTCCCTCCCCAGTCACCTTAACCCTCAATTAACCTCATTCCTTCCGTTATCGCAGACTTCCCCTTCTCTTTCATCTTCCTTCTTCTTCCCCTTCTCCCTTTCCTTTCTCTTTCCTTCACATTCCTTTCAATTCTGCATAACTCTTAGTTGTTTTATAAATTATCCACTCCTCCCATGTTTTTTTAAATTCATTGGTTTTATCTTCTCCAATATGGTAACGTTTCTCCATCCTATACACATATTCCACTCTGCTAAACCAATATTTTAATTTAGGGGTTTCCTTACTCTGCCAAAATTTCGGAATCAACCCTTTAGCTGCATTTATTAAGTGAACTATTAACGTATTCTTATATTGCTTCACCGTGAAGTCTCCTTTGTGAAATATACACCCAAGGGTTATTTGATATTCTTGTTATCACCTGAATTTGTTGAATTATTCCTTGCCAAAACTCTTGAATAAAAGGCAATCCCACCATATATGTGCTATAGTTCCTTCAAACCCACATCCCCTCCAACATAGTGAATTTTGTGATCATTGTTTATGTGCTACACTCTGTGTACAGTACCATCTTACTAGACATTTATAGTTCATCTCTACTATATTCAGATTTATAGTACTATGGACCAATCTAAATATTTTCTTCTTATCATCTTCCTCTAGCTTTGTTCCAAGCTTTTTCCCATTTGTCAAGGTACAGCAGGCAGACAGCTCCTGCATTATTAGTAAGAATCTTATAAATACAAGAAGTTGTATGTTTACATTTCGTCTCCTGACTAAATAATCGTTCCAGAGGATACATAGGGGTTTATTTACTAAAGCTGGAGAGTCCAAAATCAGACTCCCTTCTGCATAGAAACCAATCAGCTTCAAACCTCAGCTTGTTCAATGAAGCTTTGGCAATGAAACCTGGAAGCTGATTGGTTTCTATGTAGAAGGGAGTCTGATTTTGGACTCTCCAGCTTTAGTAAATAAACCCCATACTGTCCACCGTCCTTAAGGGTTGTGGAAGAGCTGATACAAAATGCTTCAATTGGTGGTACCGCCACACATCTAACCTAAAAAAAACAAATCCCTCTTAGCTTTTAATTCTAAAAAAGAACGCAAACTCCCCATTTTCTGTGATATCCTTCAAACGTTCATTTTATTTTATTTTTTATCCAGTTACCTGCAACGTCTTCCTTCTTCTGGAAATGTTTCATTTTGTGTACTGCTACTAAATACCTGGTGATCCTATCAGTTTTCTTTGTCTCTTTTTTCAAAATGACCTCCATAGGCTTAGAAGCAGATCTATGCTGGCAGTATCGGATTTGCTACATTATTACTCTGTGACTTAGAGCCCACTCACACCACATCTGTTGGGCTGCATGCTCAACGCTGGCACAAAGCAATGGTGATTGTGTGCTCCAAGGAGCAGGGCCCTCCTAACCCTCTATTGTAAAGCGCTGAGCAAACTGTTGGCGCTATATAAATCCTGTATAATAATAATGATGAGCCATCCATTGCTTCCAATAGGTCCTGTTCACACCAATGCACTGTGCTGATACGGAGGTCTCACCTGGACCCACTCACCCAGGCCCAATGGTTGTAAAGGTGGTGGGGTTGGCCTGCTCCTGTCACCGCTGAGCACCTTCCGAGTCCTCCCAAACCCCCCCTCCCTATCCTTCTCCTCCTTCGAGGCCCACTGCGCCCGACTATTCTCCCCAACCCCCCTGAAGATTGCTGTGATATACCGGCCTCCTGGATCCATACCCCGCTTCCTGGAAGACTTCTCCTCCTGGCTACCCTTCTTCCTCTCCTCTGAGCTACCCACTATCATCCTTGGGGATTTCAACATCCCTGTCAACCTCGACAACCCGGACACAGCCCGTCTCCTCCACTTAACCTCCTCCTTTGCACTTGCACAGTGCATACAATCCACCACCCACTCCGACGGTAATATCCTTGATCTTGTCTTCTCCAACCGCTGCGTTCCCCACAACCTCACTAACACCCCCTTTCCTCTCTCTGACCACAACCTGATTACCTTCTCTATCTCCTCATCCTCCAACGCCTACCCCTCCAAATGTCACACTTCTACCAGCCGTAACCTCCGCAACCTTAACCCTGCCTCCCTCCACTGCGCAGCTGATCAACTCCATGACCGCATCCTCCCGCAGTCCTGCCCCGACTTGGCTATGACCGCCTACAACAATGCGCTGTCAACAGCCCTTGACTCACTAGCGCCTTTAACCACACGCAACATCAGACCCCGACCGCTCCAGCCCTGGCAGACTGATCACACCAAAACCCTCAAACGACACAGTCGTGCCCTGGAGCGACTATGGCGCAAAACCAAATCCCAACAAGCCTTCACCCGATACAAATCTGCCTTCCACACCTACACCTCCTCCCTCCATACTGCCAAACAAGCCTACTTCCTGACCCTCAAACCATGCCCTCTCCTCCAATCCTCGCCGACTCTTCTCCACCTTCAACTCTCTACTCTCGCCACCCCCACCTCCACCCAGCACCTCACTCACTGCCCTTGAGATTGCCAATCACTTCAAAAACAAGATTGACACAATTCGCAAGGACATTGCCGCAACTCACACGCCCTCTCAACCCGTCCCCTCTCACACAGCTACCCCCTCATCCCCCCTCCCCCTCGACATAACCCACAGGGACTTCGTCGCTGCTCAAACTCCCTCCAACCCCCTTCCCCCTCACTCAGCTACCCCCTCTACATCCTTCTCCCACGGCCCCACCACTGCTCTGACCTCCTCTCCCACCCCACCCTACATTCCTCATACTGAAGCTCCCCCAACACTCCGCACCTTTGACCTTACTACCATCGAAGAAGTCTCCAAGATCCTCTCTGATGCCCGCCTCACCACCTGCCCCCTCGACCCTATCCCCTCACAACTCCTACAACCTCCCCTCCCCCTCCATCCTACGCTCCCTCACCCACATCTTCAATCTCTCCCTCTCCTCCGGCACTTTCCTTTCCCCTCTGAAACATGCACACATCACCCCCATACTTAAAAAGCCCTCCCTGGACCCCAATGATCCGAACAACCTCAGACCCATTTCCCTGCTCCCATTTACATCTAAACTCCTCGAGCGCCTAGTCTACGCCCGCCTATGCTCTCACCTCAACGACAACAACCTCCTCGATCCCCTACAGTCCGGCTTCCGTCCCCTACACTCCACCGAAACTGCCTTACTCAAACTCTCCAACGACCTGCTAACCGCCAAAGCTAATGGCCACTATTCAGTGCTCCTACTCCTTGACCTCTCTGCGGCCTTTGACACAGTCGACCACCCCCTCCTCCTCAAAAAACTACACTCCCTCGGCCCCAGAGATTCTGCTCTCTCCTTGCTCTCATCCTACCTGTCACAACGCTCTTTCAGCGTTACCTATAATGCCACCACCTCCCTCTCACTCCCTCTCTCTGTTGGGGTCCCTCAAGGCTCTGTCCTCGGGCCCCTTCTCTTCTCCATCTACACCTCCTCCCTTGGCCAACTCATACACTCTCACGGCTTCAACTACCACCTCTATGCCGATGACACACAAATCTATCTCTCAACCCCCCACCTCACCCCCTCGGTCTCCGCCCGAATCACACACCTGTTGAGTGACATATCAGACTGGATGTCGCTCCACTTCCTTAAACTGAACCTCTCCAAAACCGAGTTTCTTGTCTTCCCTCCAGCCCGGACACCCCCCCCCCCCCCATTGACTTCTCCATCATGTCCAACAACGCCACCATCAAACCCGCCCCGCAGGCCAGAGTACTTGGTGTCATTTTGGACTCCAACCTATCCTTCCAGCCCCAAGTCCACTCTTTAACAAACTCGTGCAGACTCCACCTCCGCAACATCGCCAAAATCCGCACGTTCCTAACCCCAGAAACCACTAAACAACTCATCCACTCCCTCATCATATCACGACTCGACTACTGCAACTCCCTCCTCACTGGCCTGCCTCGCCGCTGGCTATCCCCGCTTCAGTCCATCCTGAATACGGCTGCCAGACTCATTCACCTTTCCAACCGCTCCGTTTCCGCCACCCCCCCCTCTGCCAATCCCTCCACTGGCTTCCGATTGCGCAATGGATCAAATTCAAAATCCTAACGCTGACGTACAAAGCTGTCCACCATACTGCCCCGAACTACATCACTGACCTAATATCCAAGTACCGCCCAGCACGCACACTCCGCTCCTCACAAGACCTCCTTCTCTCTAGTTCCCTGGTCTCCTCCTCCCATGCCCGCCTCCAGGACTTCTCCAGGGTGTCACCCATCCTCTGGAACTCCCTGCCCCAACCCATCAGATTATCACCTGCTCTCCTCTCCTTTAGGCGCACCCTGAAAACCCATCTCTTCAGGGAAGCCTACCCCGCCCCCTGCTAACTTGCCGACCTCCTCCACTCTTCCTACCGCTCCATCCCCCACAGCTATCTCCTCCTGTGCCACTATCCCCTCCCTCCTAGATTGTAAGCTCGAAAGAGCAGGGCCCTCGATCCCCTCATGTTTTGCATTGTATTGGTATTGTTCTGTCACATGTTCTGTTCCCCTCTGTAATTTACAGCACTGAGCGAACTATTGGCGCTTTATAAATACTGTATAATAATAATAATAATATCTGATAAAAAAAATCAAGCACATTGCATTTAAACACAGTACAACACTTTACAGAACATCAAAACGACAGGCTGGGCTCACACTTTAAAGTACATCTGTCAGTATTTTACCCCTTCCTGCCTCTCTCTTTTTTTTTGTTGGCCATTGAGATGCCTAAAATAGTGCTGGGCCAAGTGGAAGGTGGTAGGGATTGATGAACTGGCTCTTGTAACTGCTAAGAAAGGCTTGCTGGACTATCAGGAAGGCTTTATGCTTACCTACATTTCAAACTGACAGGTCTACTTTATGAAAACACTTTTGGGAAATGTAATAGGTTGGCTTATGCTGTAATGGAGTTGATTTACTAAAGACAAACCAACTGTACAGTTTTTCCAAAGGTTAGTAAATGAGGGGAAGCATTGCTGACTTCCATCATCCAGTCATGGTTAAGCAAAAATGCTGTTTTTTTATTTTTCTTGCAAATGATTGGATATTCTTTGCAAAGTGAACCATCACCTCATTTGCTATGCTCTGGATCAACTGCAGTTACAGAGTGCAATCTGTTTGCTTTCAGTAAATCAACCCCAATGTCTACAAGTTCCATTTCCATTGGTATTTTCCCATTTTATTTTTGTTTGGTTAGTCATAGTTCATATATGGAAGCAGAGCATGAAAGTGAATTACTTTCTCTGGTCTTCAATGAGAATTGTTAGCTTTTGTTCAAAATACAATGCTTAATAGTTGTTGACTCTTAAAAAACAGACACGTGTTTTGCTGCTGTGCAACATTTCCTTACATTGTAAGGCCTGTATTTCACCTGATCGGATCATTGGTCCACACAAAGAAAAACTGTTAAAATTGTCACACTCTTTGTTCAATGGAGTGTCCTCCAATACTATGTATTTGAGCTTTGTGTTTTTGTTTAGGATTCAGCACTCAGCAGTCGGAGGTCATTGTGTCAGCACTAGTGAAAATCATGAATACTAACATGGATCTCATATACCAGGACATGGTTTCCAAAGTACAACAGGTTAGAAACAAGAAGAATGGGAACTAAGGGTGGGTATAGCTTTCCAGAAACAAAATACCCAAAAACTTAAAATCTTCCTGGGTATGTCTCCTGTGGCAGAAAAATGAGCACTAAGTTCTTAACTGTTCAAAACCCGGAACTTTTACCCTCTTCCTGTCCAGGCCAATTTTCATTTTTCACTATCGCACTTTGAATGATAATTACATGGTCATGCAACACTGTTCCCATATGAACTTTTGCATTTTTTTCACATAAATAGAGCTTTCGTTTGGTGGTAGCTAATCAGCACTGTTTTTTTTTTTTTTTGTTTTTTTTTTTCTTAATTTGAAAATTTTTTAAGAAAAAAATTAATTTTTCTTTCTGTTATAAAATTGTGCAAGTAAATAATTGTTCTTCTTAAATTCAGGCCAAAATATATTCTACATTTCTTTGGTGAAAATAACCCAAACCAGTGTATGTTAGTCTGTAGGAAAGTTATAGAGTCCACAAACTGGTATATATCTGAAAATTGATCAGTACTAATGGCCTATCATTTCCTGAGGCCCAAAAATGTCAGGACTGTACAGATATCCCCAAATGACCCCTTTTTGGACAGTAGACAGTGCAAAGTATTTAGTAAGATGCACGGGGAGTTTTTTTTAAGTCGTAATTTTGTGTCATATGTGTTTGGAAAATATTAAGAAATTAAAAAAACTGTTTTCACTATATGTGTGTGTGTGTGTGTGTGTGTGTGTGTGTGTGTGTGTGTGTCTTTTTTTTTTTTTTTTTTAAATACTGTCACCAGTGCAGTAGCGGGTCATCATACATTATATTGCCAAAAGTATTGGGACACCCCTCCAAATCATTAGATTCAGGTGTTCCAATCACCTCCGTGGCCAAAGGTATATAAAATCAAGCACCTAGGCATGCAGACTGCTTCTATAAACATTTGCAAAAGAATGGGTCGCCCTCAGGAGCTCAGTGAATTCAAGCGTGGTACCATGATAGCTTGCCACCTTTGCAATAAGTCCATCCTTGAAATTTCCTTGCTACTACATATTCCACGGCCAACTGTTAGTGGTATTATAACAAGGTGGAAGCAACTGGGAACAACAGCAACTCAGCAACGAAGTGGTAGGTCACGTAAAATGACAGTGGGTCAGCGCATGCTGAAGTGCACATTGCGCAGACGTCGCCAACTGTCTGCAGGGTCAATAGTTAAAGGCCTCCAAACTTCATGTGGCCTTCAAATTAGCACAACAACAGTGCATAGAGAGCTTGATGGAATGGGTTTCCATGGCCGAGCAGCTGCATCCAAGCCTTACAGTACCAAGTGCAATGCAAAGCGTCAGATGAAGTGGTATAAAGCACGCCACCACTGGACTCTAGAGCAGTGGAGACATGTTTTCTGGAGTGATGAATCACACTTCTCTGTCTGGAAATCCAATGGATGTGTCTGGATTTTGCAGTTGTAAGGAGAACGGTACTTGCCTGACTACATTGTGCCTAGTGGAGGGGGGATTATGGTGTGAAGGAGCTTTTCAGGGGTTGGGCTTGGCTCCTTAATGCCAGTGAAGGGAACTCTTAAGGCGTCAGCATATCAAAACATTTTGGACAATTTCATGCTCCCAACTTTGTGGGGACAGTTTGGGGATGGCCCCTTCCATTTTCAACATGACTGCGCACCAGTGCACAAAGCAAGGTCCATAAAGAAATAGATGAGCGAGTTTGGGATGGAGGAACTTGACTGGCCTGCACAGAGTCCTGACCTCAATTTGATAGAACACCTTTGGGATGAATTAGAGCAGAGACTGCGAGCCAGGCCTTTTTGTCCTACATCAGTGCCTGACCTAACAAATGTGCTTCTGGAAGAATGGTCAAACATTCCCATAAACACACTCCTAAACCATGTGGACAGCCTTCCCGGAAGAGTTGAAGCTGTTATAGCTGCTAAGGGTGGGCCAACTCAATATTGAACCTTACAGACTAAGACTGAGATGCCATTAAATTTTACATGTGTGTAAAGCAGTGTTTCTCAACTCCAGTCCTGGTGGACCCCCAACAGGTCATGTTTTCAGGATTTCCATTATTTTGCACAGGTGATTTGATCAGTTTCACTGCCTTAGTAATTACCACAGCTGTTTCATCTGAGGGAAATCCTGAAAACATGACCTATTGGGGGTCCATGAGGACTGGAGTTGAGAAACACTGGTGTAAAGGCAGGCGTCCCAATACTTTTGGCAATACAGTTAATAACCGGTGTGATCAGGGACACTGACTTGTGACAGTACAAAAAAAAAAAATGTTAAATTGTTTTTTTTTTTTTTTAATAAATTATTTTCTTTATTTTTATGATTTTTTTTTTTTTTTTTTAATCGCTGTGACTAGAGCAGTATAACGTTACCATAGCAACATTGTACTACTTTTGGGAAGTCATCAGGATTTTCTTTTTTTTTTTTTTTTTTTTTTTTTTACACAATATGATTGCTTATAGCAGTGAATTTCACTGCTATAAGCAAGCCTTTTACCGAATGAAATCGATTCATTCAGTTTGTTTTGTTGTGGTTGGCCTCAGCTAATCACATGGTACAGATGGGATGTGACTAGCCCTGTCTGTACCATGTAATCACTGCGACCAATCACAGCTAACAATACAATTGTAACAATGAGTGGCATGAATCAAAGTCATTCATTGTTTACAATTTTTATGTGATCTGCTGTGATTAGTCCCAACAACCACATGGTACCAGCAGCGGGCCGGTGCACTGATCAGTCATCGGCTGTGTCTGGTGACAGATCGTGCCCACAGAGTGGTCACGCGTGAGGCCCGTTCTGGGAGGATGTCATTGGATGTCCACCCGAACGATAAAAGTCTCACCCAGCCATCAATATCCTATAGGCCGGGTGGGAAGTGGTTAAAATGAAACATTTGTCATCATAGCTGATGTCTGAAACTATTGGCTCCTGAAACTAGAAAGATGATGGCATTTGTTCAGTTAAAGAAAGCTTTCCTGTTTTCGTTGTTGCTGACAAATTATGGAATTCTGGGGATTGGGACTCTTGCACCACTCACCAATATTTTTACATTAACTAGTTCCAAATATTTTATTCTAAACCAGAAGTGGAAATTTAAGATAAAGGGGATGTACAGTATATATTTGTGTACATTCTCTCTTTTTGTAAGAAATCTTGCATTTGAATATTTTACACATATTCAGCCGTCAGGTTGCCCTTCAGGCTCCTTTTTCACATGTTTACAGAGCTTAGTTGCTTAAGCTGACATTTTCCTACACCACTGAGTGGCTCCTTACCCACCTTTTCTGCCACCCTGATGTTTTTTAGATCTACGGTCTTTATAAAATAGTGTTCTGTAAATACTATGTCATCTGTGCACTGTTTTAAATGTTTAGCTGTAAAACAAACACTTTATATAAACTCGGAAAAACATGCTGGTAGGTTAATTGGATCCTGTCTAAATTGGCCCTAGTATGTGTATGAATGCAAGTTAGGGACCTTAGATTGTTCGCCCCTTGAGGGTTAGGGACTGATGTGACTGTACAATAATCATATACAGTCAGGTCCATAAATATTGTGACATCGACACAATTCTAACATTTTTGCCTCTATACACCACCACAATGGATTTGAAATGAAACAAACAAGATGTGCTTTAACTGCAGACTGTCAGCTTTAATTTGAGGGTATTTCCATCCAAATCAGGTGAACGGTGTAGGAATTACAACAGTTTGCAAATGTGCCTCCCACTTGTTAAGGGACCAAAAGTAATGGGACAATTGGCTTCTCAGCTGTTCCATGGCCAAGTGTGTGTTATTCTCTCATTATCCCAATTACAATGAGCAGATAAAAGGTCCAGAGTTAATTTCAAGTGTGCTATTTGCATTTGGAATCTGTTGCTGTCAACTCTCAAGATGAGATCCAAAGAGCTGTCACTATCAGTGAAGCAAGCCATCATTAGGCTGAAAAAACAAAACAAACCCATCAGAGAGATAGCAAAAACATTAGGCGTGGCCAAACAACTGTTTGGAACATCCTTAAAAAGAAGGAACGCACCGGTGAGCTCAGCAACATTGGAAGACCACAGGAAACAACTGTGGTGGATGACCAAAGAATTCTTTCCCTGGTGAAGAAAACACCCTTCACAACAGTTGGCCAGATCAAGAACACTCTCCAGGAGTTAGGTGTATGTGTGTCAAAGTCAACAATCAAGAGAAGACTTCACCAGAGTGAATACAGAGGGTTCACCACAAGATGTAAACCATTGGTGAGCCTCAAAAACAAGAAGGCCAGATTAGAGTTTGCCAAACGACATCTAAAAAAGCCTTCACAGTTCTGGAACAACATCCTATGGACAGATGAGACCAAGATCAACTTGTACCAGAGTGATGGGAAGAGAAGAGTATGGAGAAGGAAAGGAACTGCTCATGATCCTAAGCATACCACCTCATCAGTGAAGCATGGTGGTGGTAGTGTCATGGCGTGGGCATGTATGGCTGCCAATGGAACTGGTTCTCTTGTATTTATTGATGATGTGACTGCTGACAAAAGCAGCAAGATGAATTCTGAAGTGTTTCGGGCAATATTATCTGCTCATATTCAGCCAAATGCTTCAGAACTCATTGGACGCCGCTTCACAGTGCAGATGGACAATGACCCAAAGCATACTGCAAAAGCAACCAAAGAGTTTTTTAAGGGAAAGAAGTGGAATGTTATGCAATGGCCAAGTCAATGACCTGACCTGAATCCGATTGAGCATGCATTTCACTTGCTGAAGACAAAACTGAAGGGAAAATGCCCCAAGAACATGCAGGAACTGAAGACAGTTGCAGTAGAGGCCTGGCAGAGCATCACCAGGGATGAAACCCAGCGTCTGGTGATGTCTATGCGTTCCAGACTTCAGGCTGTAATTGACTGCAAAGGATTTGCAACCAAGTATTAAAAAGTGAAAGTTTGATTTAGGATTATTATTCTGTCACATTACTTTTGGTCCCTTAAAAAGTGGGAAGTACATATGCAAACTGTTGTAATTCCTACACCGTTCACTTGATTTGGATGTAAATACCCTCAAACTAAAGCTGACAGTCTGCAGTTAAAGCACATCTTGTTCGTTTCATTTCAAATCCATTGTGGTGGTGTATAGAGCCAAAAATGTTAGAATTGTGTAGATGTCCCAATATTTATGGACCTGACTGTATGTAAAGCGCTGTGTAAATTGACGGCGCTATATAAGTACCTGTAATAAATAATAATATACTACAGTATATGATGCAATATATTAGCATAAAAAGATGAAACTATAATTGACCCAAAAACGATTATATTAACCATTACATTATAGGAGTAATGTAATTTCTGATATCAATATATTATATAACACATATACAAACTTTCAATTGCCCTGCCATTCCCATTATGTTAAAAATGAATTGTTAAACCTAAGAGTATGGGCCAGCTCTACTAATATATCACTGCCATTAAGCTAATGCAGGGCTTATGCATCTTTTATTACAGGAGATCACTCTTCAGCAGGTCATGTCACACATAGCTTCAGTAAAAAAAAAGGATATGATCATCCTGGAGAAAAGTGAATTCTCTGCTCTCAGAACACAGAATGAGGTACTTAATACACACCAAATTAAGTGTTATTGAGATGTCCTAATGTTATCAATCCATTGTTGCGCATAAAGTACATTTATATTCAAATATAATAGTCACCAAAATGGGTATTTGCAGTAATGAAATGACAGTGTGCAAAGTACAGTGATACAGAGTACCAGATTTAGATGTCAGCCATCTGCCTTTAGTAAACTGAATTTTACACTTTACGCGTTTGCTTTAGTTCAGTTACATAAAGGAACCTGTGCTGAGAGAATTGTGAGGGCTGCCATTTTCACGCCTTCTAAAATGCTATTTGCCTGGTTGTTTCCAGTCTCAATGCCTGACAAGGAACAGCAAGGAAAGTTGATGTAATGCCAATACTCCCTATTTGGTTACTTGTCCAGGTGAATGACTGCAAGTATTGAAGCCTTTGAATATCTGCAGCAGCCAGAAAATTTAGAAAGTTAGCATTTTAAATAGAAAGAGGTCAGAGATGGAAGCCTACATATTTTCTCTGTGCATGTTTTAAAATGTGTGTATATACTGTATATACAGTTGTGCTCAAAAGTTTGCATATTCTTGGAGAAATGGTAATTTACAATGCGTACCATTTTTTTTTTCTTTTGGGAGTCATATTCAGCTGTAGCTCATAACAGAATGGTGCAATTAAAAAAAAAAAAAACATGGCAACCAGTAAACAAATGAAATGACCCCTGTTCAGAAGTCTGCATACCCTTAGTTCTTAATACTATGTATTTCCCCCTTTAGCATCAATGACAGCATTCAGTCTTTTGTAATAGTTGTATGGGACGTATTCTTGCAGGTGGTATAGTTGCCTATTCGTCTTGGCAAAATGCCTCCAGGTCATGCAAAGTCTTTGGTCGTTTTGCATGAACCAAACATTTGAGATCTCCCCAGAGTGGCTGTATGATATTAAGAATACAAATTGTCTGCCAGTGTTTTTTCTGATAACATGCTGCATTCATCTTGCCATCAATTTTTATAAGATTCCCTGTGCCTTTAGCGCTCACACAGTCCCAAAACATCAGTGCACCACCATCATGCTTCATGGTGAGGATGGCAATTCTTGTCGCTATAGGCTTTGTTGACCCCTCTCCAAACATAGCCCTTATGGCTGTGACCATAAAGCTCTATTTTGTTCTTGTGTGCCAGAAGCTCTGAGGTGTGTCAAGGTGTTTTCGGACATATTGTAGCCAGGCTTTTTTGTGGCATTGGTGCAGCAAAGGCTTCTTTCTGGCAACTTGACCATGCAGCTCATTTTTGTTCAAGTATAGTTATGTTGCAACAACCACATCGTCTTTTTCCAGAGCAGCCTGTATTTCTCCTGAGGTTATCTGTGGGTTTTTCTTTGTATCCCGAACAATTCTTCTGGCAGTTGTGGCTGCAATCTTTCTTGGTTTACCTGAGCTTGGCTTGGTATTCAGAGATCCCAGAACTTTTTCTACTTCTTAAGTGATTAAACAGTACTGACTGGCATATTCAAGGCTTTGAATTATGTCATCTTCCATCTTTAGAAAGTTCTATTACTTTGTTTCTCAGGTCTTTTGACAGTTCTTTTCTGCTCCCCATGGCTCAGTATTTAGCCTGTGCATCCATGAGCGCTAACAAACTCATTGACTATTTATACACAAACACTAATTGCAATTTAAAAAGCCACAGTTGTAGGAAATGAACCTTTTAATTGGCATTTTAACCTGTGTGTGTGTCACCTTGTGTGTCTGTACCAAGGCCCAACATTCCAGTGTATGTAAACTTTTGATCAGGGCTGTTTGGGTGATTTCTGTTATTATTCTGTTTTTGAAAAACAGCCAAACAACAATGTGATAATAAACCGCTTCATATGATCATCATCATTCAATATAAGGCAGTTTTTTGACATGAGCAGTTGTTTTCAATATCTATGCAAAAATGTCATGATTTCTGCCAGGGGTATGCAAGTGTGTGTGTGTGTGTGTGTGTGTGTGTGTGTGTGTGTGTTTTAAGAGGGGCTTTAGCATGTAGATCTATAGTTTTTTTTATCTATTGGCTTTCAACATAGTAGTTGCCACAGCTGTCTAACTGGGAAAAAAATAACAGCAAAATGTAAAAATAGAATTTAACTGCTGTTTTTTTTTTCTCTCAAAGAAAGTAAACATTGAACTACAGCAACTGAAGAAACAGTTAATTGTAAGTTTTTCTCATTATTAATCTTTGGCTTCTAATAAATGTCCAATAAATAAAAACTGTTTGTAAACCTTAATTTTTTTTTTTTTTTGCTTCCTAAAGGAAAATTTTGTGTACTATTAATGTAGAGGATTACCTAAAGTGTAACTACACTTGTGCTTGTCTTGCCTATTTTTTGTAAATCCCACACAACTACACCGCCTTCCAGTCTTCTACTCACCTGTCCCCAGTCCAGTGAGAGCTCAGTACTTCAGTACTGCACAGCCCCCTGACTGAATCTTCAAGACTGCAAAGTTGGGAATTTGCTGCACTGGGCACAGGTGAGTACTGCCAGGAGGAAATGGAAGGTGGGAGTCAAAAATAAATGTTACTGTACTGGAAGTTGTTCATAGCTTTCAAAACTTGCCATGGAAGTTTCAATGTGGTCGATGATGTAGGAAACAGAGAGATGAAATGTTACACAGCACGAGTTTACAGCTGAAATTTGAAATAAGAAAAATTATCTAAATACAAGAGACATTTTTATTCTTACTTGCATATTGGTGTGCTTTGTGTATTTCTTCCAAATGTGTGCAGTAATCCAGTGTGAAACTTTCCTCTGTACAGGAGCTTCCCGTAATAAAGACAAGTCACTGCTGCTCTCTCTCCTTGTTGTTCAGGGTGACTGGTCTTGTGTCAGCCCCCCCAGTAGTTTTTTTGCAGACAGCCTATAGGGGTGGGATTGCTGGGTTCCTCCCACAACTTTTTTTTTATGCACAGGGCATGGGCAGCATAATGATGATGTCATCAGTACTTTAGGTAATAACTATGCTTGCAAAGCATTTGGTGCACAGTCGCTAAGTGGTTAGCACTTCCACATAGCAGCACTAGGGTCATCGGTTCAAATCCCAACCATGGCACTATCTGGAGTTTGCATATTCTCTTTGTGCCTGCATGGGTTTCCTCTGGATACACGGGTTTCCTCCCACGCTCCAAAGACATGCTGGTACATTAATTGGCTCCTGTCAAGATTGGCCCTAGTGTATGTATGAATGTGAGTTAGAGACCTTGGATTGTAAGGTTGAAGGTACGGACTGATGTGATTGTACAATATACTGTATATGTAAAGCGCTGCCTAAACTGACACTATATAAGTACCTGTATTAATAATAATACCAATAGGGAATGCTGTTGCAGAATTTTTTTTAACCTTTAGTAAACCAGAACCTTACAAATCTTATTTTTTTTCTAAGGATCATATTCTTAAAGTTAGAGCAAACAACAAAATGGACTTTAATTCAGAGAAAAGCAGAGTAAAGGAAATGGTAAGTGTGTTCCACTTCCACACATCTGTTTTCACTTGCAGTAACTTTTAAACCACCCATCAATGGATTTGTACTTCATATAAAATCCACCCAGCTTGCACTACTATGATATCACTCTCCCTTTATTGAGCATAGGATTAAATTGTTTTGCCATAATTACAGAACTAATGTGTCTCATGTGGTTAGGATTAGTTTGAGCTAGAACATATAATTGTGAGTGTATGCTATATTCTTTAAAGTGTTTCATGCTTCTTCATACCCCCTCACCACCAAACCCTATGAATCTGCTCAGTTGTAGTGATCAGTGTAACAAATTATATGGTTGGGAAGCCAGTGGTGGTTCTATATTTTGCTTGCCTTCTAAGCAGCTCCCCGTGAGGGAAATCAAAAGGCCCAGACTATAATGTCACCCTATTGATCCTGTTGCTTGACTCTGCCAGTCAAAGAGAGAGCACTCACCTACTCCCTCAGAACTACTCAACTACTCATTGGCTGAAATGCTGCAACAGCAAGACACTTGAGTATTCTCTCTGCTGTCCTGTGATAATAAAGGGGCTACCCAGTGGCGTTCCTAGGCAGGTATGGGGGGTGCGCGCCGCACCGTGTGACACCTACTGCACGGGGTGACACCGGACCTGCTCCACGAAAAGGTAAGTTGTAAAGCAAGCCGACGATCCCCACAGGATGGATCGGATCTGTGGATTGAGCATAATGGGTCGGAGTCCAATCCATTATGCTCCCCAATCTGCAGATCCGATCCATCCTGCGAGGATTGTCGGCTTGCTTTACAACTTACCTTTTCGTGGAGCGGGTCAGGTTTCACCCCGTATAGGTTGTATGCCGATGATCCCCACAGGATAGATCGGACCTGCGGATTGGGGAGCATATTGGATCAGACTCCGATCCATTATGCTCAATCCGCAGACCTGATCCATCCTGCGGGGATAGTCGGAGGGGGTGTCACCAAGTGTTAACGCACCGGATGACACCATCCCTAAGGACGCCCCAGGGGCTACCTATGCTAATCTCCTCCCGAAAAATGCTAGGTTCTTCACTATCCTTTTAAGCTGATCCTCTGCTTTCACTACTTTCTGAGTCACCCACTTGGAGCAAGTATGCAGATTGGGAAAGTCACAGAGAACCAAGTCCTTAACTTCTTATTTCTGAGACAGTGGCTTAAAGTATTGAGCAAAAGTTCAGCCAAGCATCTAGCATTTTCAATAAAAGAAGCCTCATGTCTCATTTTATTGGTTTTCTTGAATACAGGTTCACTTCAAAGTTCTGTTTGCAAATACATCAGAAGGGGATACCTAGCATGGTTGATGTTTATCACCCAGTGAACAGGCAAGTGACACAAGAACAGCTACGAAGCTGAAAAGAGAATAATAGTGTCACCCCCCTCTGGATGAGTTATGTGAAAATTAATGTGAAAAAATAATGTAAAATAAACGATGGGTTAGAGAATTAATTTTGTTTGGCAGATAAAACACAACATATTATGCAGATGTTCGCCTGGAGCTCTGCTTTAAAATAGGCAATACATTTTTCCATGAATAAATATGGAAATTATAGTGTGGTTTCAGTTACATCCCATAATGTTGCACACTTGTGATTGTTGTTTCGAAAGTAAAAATAGGCTTGAAATAGTAAGAGGAGCGATTTTGGCAATAAATCATATTTGTTGCATACCTTTTTGTTAACCTTTTTAAATGTTATTTTTGATTTTAGAGGTAGGTAAAGATATGTTCTTTCATACATTATTGCATAACAGTCAGGAAATAATTTTAGGTTTGGAGTACTCCTACTGTATAGTAATGTTTTAACAACAACATGATTTGCTAATTTGCATTTAAAGCTGTTTAAGTATGCATTGTTCATTGCACTATTTCATTTTAATAACAGCATGTGGTTCATTTGTGAAGTTAAACTAACTCTCTATTCCAATAGACAACCCTTTGAAGTCAATTCTTAGTAAGCTGCTAATTATAGTGACAAAGCCATAAGGGTCAGATTTGGGAATTCTAGACTGTGACAGGTACTTTTGATGTGGGCACTGTACCATCTTGTCACTGAGAACATGATATGTTCAACAAGTTCTGAGTTGTTGTTTTTTTTTTTTTTTGTGTTGTACATTTACAATCCTTTTATTTTAATTTATAGTATGCTGATAATGAAAGAAAACTCCTAGAACTTCGTACAGAGATAGTGGAAATGGTATGTATTTGCTGCTTGAAAAATCATTGTACACCATTGTACACTGCTCAAAAAAATTAAAGGAACACTTTGAAAATCTATCAGATCTCAATGGGGAAAAATATCATTCTGGATATCTATACTGATATGGACTGGGTAATGTGTTAGGAACGTAAAGATGCCCCATCGTTTGATGGAAATGAAAATTATCAACCTACAGATGACTGAATTCAAAGACACCCAGAAAATCTAAATAAAAATCAACGTGAAAAAATGATGTAGCAGGCTAGTCCATTTGCTGAAATTTCATTGCAGCAACTCAGAATGGTACTCAGTAGTTTGTATGCCCCCACATGCTTGTATGTATGTATGCATGCCTGACAATATCGGGGCATGCTCCTAATGAGACGACAGATGGTGTCCTGGGGTATTTCCTCCCAGATCTGGGCCAGGGCATCACTGAGCTCCTGGACAGTCCAGGAGGTGCCACCTGGCGTCGGATGGACCGAAACAGGATATCTTAGAGGTGTTCTTTTGGATTTAGGTCAGGCGAGCATGGGGGCCATTCAATGGTATCAATTCCTTCATACTCCAGGGACAGCCTGCCTACTCTTGCCACACGAAGCCGGGCCCACTACACCAGCATAGGATCTGACAATGGGTCTTTTATGCTAATACCTAATGGCAATCAGGGTGCCATTGTCAAGCCTGTAGAGGTCTGTGTGGCCTCCATGGATATGCCTCCCCAGACCATCACTAACCCACCACCAAAACAGTCATGCTAAATGATGTTACAGGCAGCATAATATTCTCCATGGCTTCTCCAGACCCTTTCATGTCTGTCACATGTGCTCAGGGTGAACCTGCTCTAATCTGTGAAAAGCACAGGGCACCAGTGGCGGACCTGCCAATTCTGGTGTTCAATGGCAAATGCCAGTCAAGCTCCATGGTGCCGGACAATGAGCACAGGGCCCACTAGAGGATGTCGGGCCCTCAGATCATCCTCATGAAGTCTGTTTCTGATTGTTTTTTCAGAGACATTCACACCAGAGGCCTGGTGGAGGTCATTTTGTAAGGCTCTGGCAGTGCTTATCCTGTTCATCCTTGCACAAAGGAGCAGATACTGGTCCTGGTGATGGGTTAGGGAATGTCTTCGGCCCTGTCCAGCTCTCATAGAGTGACTGCCTGTCTCCTGGAATCTCCTCCATGCTCTTGAGACTGTGCTGAGAGACACAGCAAACCTTCTGGCAATGGCCCGTATTGATGTGCCATCTTGGAGGACTTGGACTACCTGTCAACCTCTGTAAGGTCCAGGTATCATCTCATGCTACCAGTAGTAATACTGACCCTAGCCAAATGTAAAACTAGTGAAAAACAGTCAGAAAAGATGAGTAGGGAAAAAATGTCAGTGGCTTCCACCTGTAAAACCATTCCTGTTTTGGGAGTCATCTCATTGTTGCCCATCTAGAGCACCTGTTGTTAATTTAATTACCACTAAAGCAGCTGAAACTGATTAACAACCTCCTCTGCCACTTAACTGACCAGATCAATATCCCAGGAGTTTAATTGACTTTATGCTATACTCTGATTAAAAAGTGTTCCTTTAACTTTTTTTTTGAGCAGTATATTTTCAGTATTGCAGTCTTCCTCTGTGAAAATTGTTTGAACAGGATGTTTTACTAAAGGATTTGATAATATTGATGCAATACATTGTGTGAAGATTTAAAATGTGCACATAAAATAAGTAAATGGGGATTTCTTCATCTTTTATTATGGAACACAAAATGAAAGTAATTCTGAGACACTGGGTTATACTGCTGCCTACAGGAGATTGTTGGACACTGGCAAACAAAGCTGTAAGACGGCCAGTATAACCCATACTACTCATATCGTGTTCAGTTTTTTGCTAATGTCCTAGGAGAAGAAAACCCAGTTCTTTGCTTTTTTCTGCATTTCATCAAGCTTCTTTTTTCTTCAATCAAGATTTTTCAGTTGCTGCAAAGCTTGAAGAACTCACTTTGCAGCTTTCTAGATCATAGCCACCGAAACTGTATCTGAATGCTGCTGCGATAAAGACCTGGGACTGGCCTGTAATGTCATTTTAGGGCACCAACCTCTGCTGTGGCACTCTCAAGACACTTTTTGTATAGCGTGATTAAGCTACAAAATCCTTTAAAGGTCCAGGGCCATGATACATCTGGTGGATGAGGAAAGAACAAACAGAGGGCGCACAGGCCTAATGCATTACCATAAAAAATGTTTAATAAGAAATAAAGTAGGTGTTGTACTCACATATGACAATAAAGTCAAGGCACGTCATAAACAAACAGCTTGGTCAACACCGACATCTGGTGGATGCCTGTCCTTGAAGACCCTCCCAGTAGTATGTCTGCCAGAGATATGAAGACTGACTGGTATTGTGCATGCTGCCCTGACTTGGATCCTGTCAGCCACTCAGACCACACCTTAGTGAATAACAGTGAGTAACATGGACAATGCCTACTTAAAGAGGAATCCAACACCGTTCAGAGTTTATTACCACATCCCTTTAGGGATTAATGTCTGTATGCTGCAAGACTATTAATTTACATAATGGCACCACAACACTTTTTTTAAACTGTTATGCTTTTTTTCTGCATTACAGGCTTGAGCTATTTTTCAAATATTTTGTATTCAATAGAAACCTCGTTACGAGACAAAACATACATGTTTTCTGACATTTTTCAGACTCTCCCATTGAAGTATGTTGGGGCCAAAACATACAATTCTGCCTCAAAAGAAACTCATGTATTTTTCTGAGTAGCAAACTTCAAGCTACAGTATGCTTTGGTGTGAACAGGAGTCCTTGAATATAATGTAAATCCTAGTGGTGAGTGTTGAACCTCTTCTGATCAAGCTTCAAATCGCACAGGTGTGAATCAGGTCTTATACCACTGCTGGAAAACCGTGTTTGTGGGCTGCCACTAGCAATAAAAAGTGTCAAAACCAAATCTGCCATATTGTGACAAACCAACTGAACTCCTACCTCAGATAAAGACACAAGTTCTACAGCTTCCATAAATCAACCCAGCACCTCAGCTTTAGCTGCAAACATTTTTTTAGACCAAAAAGGTAAAGGAAAATAACTTGGAGTAAGAAGGGGGATCTCCCAGAAACAGCAAGAGAAGACCTTACAAGAGTCAGGTATTCAACTTTTTAACAGGTACATTGAATCAGGGTGAGTCTAAATTATTATCTAAAGGACCATCATTTTGCCCAACAATGTACTTTGATACATTTAAGGCTGATGTTGACTTTGGCATAAAGACACCCAATAAACCGGACACAGCCAAATTATCCTTCAGAATTAAAAGTAACTATATTTCCCCTGTACAATTTTACTCTATAGAAAGTTTTATTAAAACTATCAGACATGAAGTCTCCCCGTACTGTTTTTCAGATTTGAAAACCGTGTGGCTGTGCGGGGATCTGCCCACACGGCCGTGTCACTCATTCACAGTGTTCTGTGAATGAGTGCCTACAAGTCCCAGCAGCCTTAGCGGATGTCACCTTGTAGTTTTTAATGAACTACCATGGCGCTGTGCAGCACCATGGTAGTTCATTGAAGCTTCCTGTCAGAATATCTGCTTGGCCATGCATTCCATATGGCAAGCAGATATTCTGACAGGTCTGCAAGAGACCTGCATGGCATCAGCGGTCTGATCACTGGTGAAATGGTTTACAGGCTCCTTTGGACAAAAATAATAAATGCACATTTTTTTACCTGCAAAAAAATGTGCATGTATTATTTTTGTCCAAAAGGTGAACGTATCCTCTAAAGAACTTTTGGATCGTGGACATTGGTTCTGTGTTTCTTGCTATTGAACACCCTAGAACCCTGGTAATCTATGGACTGCCTAAAATAAGGGTATGAATCTTCCTAAATTTAGACACATTGTTTCCATCACCAATTCTGTGACCAAACCCCCAGGAGTTTGGTCATAAAATTGGTGATGGAAACAATGTATCTAAAAGGTTCCACTGCCCAACTTCCCACCACATTGGGTATTGAGGTACAAAAAATGAAGATATATCAATTGTGGCAGGAAATCAGTCTGGCTCAAAGTCCATTACTTGTGATAATACGCAAAAGAAGTTTCTGGTATCCTTAATATAACTTGGGGATCCTTTCACAATAGGTTGCATAAAAAAGTACATTTCTTGAGCTAGCTGTCACTAGATGCAGTGGCTCCAGGGGTGGGAACATTTTACATGTCTCACCCTAAAAACAGGTGGAACATGTAACATGTTCCCAAAAGTGAACTTATCTTTAAGAACTGGGAATGATAGTAATAAATAGTAAGCGCTCATAAATAGTGCAAGCAGCTGAACATATAGGAAAACACATAAAAAGTCCCAAAATACATATACAGAAGAAATGCAGCGCTCTAAAAATTAATATTGGAAATAGTAGACACAGTCCAGTAAAACAACAGTGCTCCTTGTTTCCCAGTGTAAATGGTAGAATTTTGCACTAACCAGAACGCACATGGGTAATGCGCATATATGTGTAAATCCTGAAGATCCTTTTCTCCACTTAAGGCTGGTCAGGTATATGGCTTGGAAGAATGGAGATCCTACGCCCTCATGTGGTGGGAAATAATCCAGCAGGTCAAAGCTATGACGATCCAGATGAGCCTCCACAGGAACTGGCACAGGAATCCCAAGGGCTACAAGGATGGAAAAGCTCCTCACAGGAGACACAGGGGAGCACTCATAGTGTAGTAATTTAAAACTTTATTTGAAAGCAGCACAGGTGCAGAATACAGGAGAATAGCCAAGTATGGGCAAACACACTGACCCTATTAGATGTCAAAATGGCCGCCGGGCCTCCTCGTGGCACCGGCGGCTTAATGTCAACGGCGTCCTAGGGTCCCACCTGACGCGTTTCGTGCGCACGCACTTCCTCAGAGGTTCCACCTCTGAGGAAGTGCGTGCGCACGAAACGCGTCAGGTGGGACCCTAGGACGCCGTTGACATTA